ATCCAATTTTTCCAAATATACAACCCAGACGTCCTCGTTAAGACACGAAGAAATAAATAACCACTACAGAACCTTCAGGAGGTTCTACTGCACTGTACAGTAATTAATGTTAGCCACTGAAATTTCTAAATTGTAAACATGTCTCATAAATTAAAACTGGGGCTTGCTTCTGAAGTGATTAAATGTCATTGCGTGGATTTGGGTTGAGTGGGAAGGGGGTTTGGTTGTCAAAATCTTGATTGAACCTTGTGAATGCTGAAAAGCAAATAAAGTGTTCTGTTCATTCATTCATGGCAGATTCATCAGGTGGACTCTCTCTCTACAACGATTTTCTCTGCATAACGAATTATTTTGTCCCATAGGTCGGGCTTTCTCCCTGTCTTATGTGGGATTCTCTACAGCAAAATTATCTCTACAACCAATTTGCATGACCCTTTTTAGACCTTAGTTTTGTATGACCCTGTGTATGACACACTCACGCAAGGAGCAAAAACCGCAATATTTAGGAACTTTTAAAAGTTCAATGTGTGAATATTGCTTCTGATAAAAGTTGTTACGATTCTTTCGATTTCTATTTGTTATTTCGTCTTGTCATTGTGGATGGTATAGTTAAACAAAAAACTAGCTCTTCAAAATTTGACATTGATCACCATTAATTTCCAACGAAAATTGTTTTTCCCCAAGTGTGGCCAAAATACCATCTGTGACTTGTTGGTCTTGAACCCAGCTAATATGCATCAAAATTCTCAGTTCGACACGTTCATTTGTTTGCATTACTGATTTTAGTATAAAGTTTTTTTTAATCGCACCACCTTTTATTAGCATGCAATAGATCTTCTATCATTATCTCCACTTGGATTAACTGTGGGTTTCATTAGCTAAGCCTTACTTTTTAATCATTGAAAGAGAGTCGTCATGCATTTAACCATAGCAGCTAAGATTTTATCTGATAAAAAAAACATGCTGAGTAATGAGGTACTGTTATTTGTGAAAATATCACAACCATAATTAGTGTAATTATGTGTAAACCATAATTAGATCAATTTTCATTTGATGAATGAAATTTTTTGATACAGTATTTGAATATGTATGTAAATTACAGTAATTGACAATTAGACTCTTTTTTTCTCACTTATTACGTAGCTGCACACCAAAAAATGTTGACAAAAAAAATTTGGCGTCGATTCGCGAGTCAAAGTTCATTTACTGTTTCGGCAAGATGTCTCAATGCCCTTCGAGTGTACATACTGTATGTCGATGTGGAATCCCATGCATTTCGAGGATTTAGTAGTTGTACAAAAACAAAATTTACAACGATTCATTTTTCGGCCTCCTTGGTTCGTTTCTAGTGAAATGAAAACAGCGTGTGTTTTAGGAAGCGTCGTTTCTTTCGTCAATTCAGCTGCATTGTCGACCGCATGGCTTTAAAATGTTCAAAAAAACGAAACGCACAACAACAAGGAAAAAAAAAAGCCTTGAGCAAAACACGTATGCACAAAAGCACGTACAAAATTGCATACAAAATAATAATGATTCAACACTCGTCGACAAACAACTCGGCTTGCAGCTGCCGCTTCCTCTCAACTTCTTGACAAACGGCGGGATAAAATTCGACTCATATCTTTCTCTCGCTCTCTCCCATTCAAGATAAATTTGCCAAATATGGCGTTCGTGTTACTTTTCTGCCACTACCGAGACTGCGAACCCGGGGATAAGGGGGTGGGGGGTGGGTTTTTCAAGAAAGATGAAAAAATGAGCTTAACATGAAAAGAGAGAAACAAAATGCCGCCCTGGACCGTAATGAGCATCTGTTGTCGATTCTTCGGGTGCGGGGAAAAAAAATACTGCTTGCACTTGAAACCTCGTGCCATCACCAACACGCCAACAACCGAACCAGTGAGGGACTAGAACCGAAGTGTCGGCATCGGTTAATTCAATGCATCAAGCAGAGCAGGGTTCTCTCTTTACTTTCTTCTTCTTTCCCTTTCCCAAATATATTTTTTTGCAATTTATCAAAACCCATTTGTCTCCTCCCCACCCCGTCAACAACAATTACAGCAAGAAAAAAATAAAAACAATTCGCCAGAGAATCAACAAGACGTCGAGAAAAAGATAAAGGCAGTGAAAGAATATTACTGTGCCATGTTTCCCGGAATCTTCGACGAACTGATGAGACAAAAAACGCCCTCGCAAAAATGTTCAGGCACCTTGCGAAATTCAGAGCGTCAAAAAAATTACCGTGCAACAAAAAAAAATTGCCATGACAATAAAAAGTGGAACGTCTAAAAATATGTCATCAGGTTTTTTCAATTAACTCAACCACGATAAAGAAAAATACAACTCACCTTTTTCAGTGTTTGATGTCGAAAAGTTACCGCACGATTAGCCATTTTTAATGACATCAAGCAATCAGCGGGAAAAATTCAGAAAATAAGCTTAAGTCTCTTCCCAAAAAAAAAAAAACCAAAGCACTGATTTGAGGCACCTTACGAAATAAAGGGCTTCCAAAAAGTTACTGCTCAGTGAGGATTGCGTAGAGAAAATTGCGAATGAAAAATCCATCCTCGGGAATTTGCTAAATTTATTTTGCAATTCTTTTTTAATTTTTTTCAAGCTTTTTGATTTAGGAGAAACTGAAATACTGAGTGCAAAAACCCGCGCCATGAAAGAATTCCCAACTGCACGGCAAATTTTTAGACGAGCAGAATAAGTGCTACAAAAATTACACATTTTGTCACTTGTAAACGAAAAAAAAAAATTTGTGGGCCTTCTAAAATGAACTAACTTCTGATTTCGCATATTATCAGAGTATATGGAGCTAGAGGTTGACTCAAATTCCTCTACAGCGGTATTCGCCGCATACAACTAATTTGTTTAGATCCTCAGCATAACTAAACTCTCGTTATAACGAAAGTTGAGGTCCCCCTGAGATTTCAAGTGTGCGTGGAGAGTTCACCGAAATTATTTTTGCAGGAGCTGGACGCGGGAAAATGTTCAATTTTTATCCTGAAGTATAGGCTTCTCAGCCATTTTTTATTTTTTAAATTTTAAATTCGAAAAACCGACCGCTTCGTCGCAGTTTTGAGTGCACCCCTCATCAGAAAGTGAATACTGTACTGTACATGAAAACAAGCCCTGGCGCATCTTTTTGGAGGGGAAAACCCCCCACGGTAACCCTGTGAACCAGTCTATATCCGAGTACTGATTAAAATTATGAAGAAATGAACATCAGATCCGTCTAACTTCCCGGGAAACAAGGCAGGCGAGGGGGGGGGAATCAGAAATTCCTGCGCTGGAATTGCGGGAAGAAGTTGATGTTGGGGTTGCCGAACCGCGTGACCTGAGTGGGCCCCTGTTGGTTCGGCGGCGGCGGCGGGAAAAGCGGCCGGAAGCCCGTCTGGTCTCGCTGGGACGGCGGTGGCGGCTGGAAGAAGCCTGACTGGGGACCCGACGGACGCTCCGGGCTGCCGGCGATCGGCTGGAAGCCCGAGAAAAGGCGGCCCGGGGCGGCCACGGGCTGTCGCGGCGGCCCGAAGCTCTGACTGATGGTCGCCCCCGGGAAGCTCGTGATGGTCGGCTGTCCGAAAGGCACGAAGTTGGGCTGCTGGCTCACTTGGTTCACGCGCGTCGGCGTTGGGCGCCCGAAAGCGTCCGTGAACTGCGTTGGTGGCGGCGGCCGAGACTGTTGTTGTGGCGGCGGCCGAGACTGTTGTTGCTGTTGTTGTGGCGGCGGCCGCTGTTGCGGTGGTGGGCGTGACGGCGGCCCGAAGTTGGCGAACAAGTTGGAGTTGAATGGCGAGGGTGGCGGACGAGGGAACCCGGGGAAATCTGGTTCTTCTTCCCTGTCGTCGTCTTCATCGGGTCGCTGCTGGTCGGGTTCGAATCCCGGCGGCGGTCGCCTGTTGTCTCCTGGTCGTTGTTGTTGCTGTTGTTGCTGCTGTGGCGGCAGCTGAGGCGGTCGGTTACCTAAGAGTGAACCATCGGTGTTGAAAGGAAATCTGATGCGATTTTTCGAATTCCTGAGATCCCTCTAGCGGATGCTGAATTCCGCGTGAAATTCTCGCGCGAATGTAAATTTTCGCGGAAATAAAATTTCGCGCCTTAGTTAATTTCGGATGATGCAACCCGTGATTCAAAAAATCGAAAGCAAATATCAACTGCTATGATTATACGAAAAAATCGATTAACGCAATAATTTTTGTTTCCCCCCAAGAAGTTAGATATCAGGTCATGTTCACCATCGTTGAAGTAAAATTTGAGGAAATTATCTCGAAATTCAGAAATATAAAAAAAATCGCGCTTATTCACCTGTTTGAAAATGATTTAATGATTTAATTTTAAACTCGGACAACCCTGTTCAAACCTTGTGATGGAAGCACACATGAATTGCATTTCTTTTCTTTTTCGAATGCCTGCTCGGGTCACGACAATGCGATTCAAAACCTTAAAGTTTAACAGACATTCGAAATAAAATTGAATAAGCTTTCGTTTTACACCCATATTAACGTGATGTTGCTTAAACCTCTCAAATCTGAACCATAAACCGGGGTGCGAATCATAAGCAAGTACAGATTTTATAGCAATGTTGCTTCGGTAGCCTTAGTCATTTTACCGAAGCAACGCTGCTTTTTAGGCAATATACTTCATTGAGTAAATTGTTAACACCGATATCCCGTCCCTGTTTTTTGCTGACGCAATTAAGCGATTATTTGTTATAACTAGATTCTTTGTAACGAGATTCCACTGTAATATCTTTTCCCATACATTTTCTGACATTTTTCAGCGCAAAAAACCTTCTCTCAAATTACAGACAAATCGTAAGAGAGAAGGAAATTTAAATTAATTGAATTAACCTTCCATTTGAGCATAAATTGAGTAGTGAAGTGGAGTAGAAGTGTATATTTCTATATTTCGCTGTTCGGATTAATGCGATCCAATTTTTCCAAATATACAACCCAGACGTCCTCGTTAAGACACGAAGAAATAAATAACCACTACAGAACCTTCAGGAGGTTCTACTGCACTGTACAGTAATTAATTCGCTGTTCGGATTAATGCGATCCAATTTTTCCAAATATACAACCCAGACGTCCTCGTTAAGACACGAAGAAATAAATAACCACTACAGAACCTTCAGGAGGTTCTACTGCACTGTACAGTAATTAATAATGTTAGCCACTGAAATTTCTAAATTGTAAACATGTCTCATAAATTAAAACTGGGGCTTGCTTCTGATGTGGGGATACCATTTTACCTAACTAGGGGGTGGTGCCCAGCCACACCTGGGCAAGTGATTTCACAGGAAAATATTTGTCAACTTTTTGGGAGGATACTGTACTTCTTTCTTAATTTTAAAATTCTTCCACTTTAAAATAAATATCCTGCCACCCTTGGCATCATGAGCAAGATTTTTAAATATATATACATTGAAGGAAATTTCAATGTTGGAGGCTTCATAGTTAAAAATGAAAATGTTGAGTAATTTTTCCCAATTTTCCCTCAAATTTCAAAAACATTTTTGCGTTTTTACTCATATATGCCAATTATTAATATTTATGATGATAAAAAATATGGGAAACTTTGGTGCACATCTGACTCTGTTTCAATGCTAAAGTTTGATCAAGAATTGCATTTTTGACAGATTTTTAAATCAAGAAAGTCAGGAAACAAAGAATTTCCAAATTTCCCACCCCGTATATTCTCACCAGAAATTAAAGCGTTATTCCGAGTCCGCCTCAAGCGTAGAAAAATTAGATACAGCACTCTCCAACTTGACTTGAATTGACTAATGAATGCCGATCTAAAACTCCTCGTCAGGGATTCGTCAGAACTCACCGAAATTCGGCTGGAAGAATCCCGGCGGCGGTCCTCCGAAAGTCTGCTGCACGATTTGCGGCGGCGGCGGCGGTCCTGGTCTGCGGCGCTCCTCCTCTGGCTCAGAACCCGGCCTCTGCTGCTGTTGCTGTTGTGGCGGTGGTCTGCTGCTCGGCGGCGGCGGAGGTGGTGGCGGTGGTCTGCTGCTCGGTGGCGGTCCTTGCCTCGGCACTTGTTGCACGATGATGGTATTGAACTGACCTGTGACTGGGTCAAAAATGAGCTCCGAGTTGACCAGGTTGCCTTGTTCTCCGCTCGACGGCGGCGGCTGCGGTGGTGGCGGACCGGGACGCGATTGCTGTTGCTGCTGTTGTTGTGGTGGCGGCGGTGGTGGTGGCGGAGGTCGCCTTGACGGCGCCACACCGAAGCCTTGGAGCTCGTTATCGAAACTGAATGGCGGCGGTTGTGGAGTCGGCCTCGACGGAATAGGACTGAACGTAGTTCTCTGTGGTGGCGGCGGAGGCGGCGGTTGCTGAGGCGGCAGTTCTGGTCGTTCCCTCTCAGGCTCCGGCTCCTCTTCTCCTTGGGGCCGGATCAAAGGCCGCGGCGGTCCACTCACTTGCTCACGCGGCGGCTCAAACTGAATTGGGCGTCCGAATGCGTCCGTCGGCCGCTGTTGAGGTGGCGGCGGTGGCGGTGGCGTGGGTCTGCGTGGACTTCCAATCGTCGTCGTCACTGGAGAAGGACGCTGTTGCGGTGGAAACGTTCTCTGCGGCGGCGGAGGCGAAGACGGTCTTTGAGGCGGCGGTGGCGGCGGCAATCTGGTGGTTGGCTCTGGTCGCGGAGCGGCGGTGCTGCTGGGCGGCGCGGGTCTGGCGGTCGGGGGACGCCGCGCTTGCTCAAAAGACGGTAACCTCGGGCGGTTGATGGGCGGCGGCGGCGGGCGAATCGGACGAGCCAAAGGATCCTCTTCTTCTTCCTCGTCGTCGTCTCCGGAGTCCAGGGGTCGTCCTCCGGGTCTCCGCTGGGGTCGTTCTTCCCCGTCTTCGGGGATCTCTTCGTCTTCTTCGCTCTCTTTCTTGTCGCAGGGGTTGCCGGAGACGTAGGTGTACTCGCGACGGACGCCGTCGGGGTCGACGTAGCCGTATTTGCCGCGAACGACGCAGTCCGTCCCGCGGGTTTCTTCGCGGAAGGACCCGTCGGAGCTCTCGTACCCGAAAGTGAAGGACCCGTCTTCGTTTTGCCGGTTGTACCTCCGCACAGTCACTGCCGTTTGAGGGCCCTTCTCTTCGTCTTGTTCGGCTGCTTCCGCTGAGGCCTTCGCCCTGTCTTCTTCTGCTTTGTCTTCTTGTCTGCGGTCTTCTTGCGCTTTCTGTTGGCGGGTTCGCTCTTCTTCTTCTTCGAGCAGCTGCTCGCGGATCGGCTTCCGGCGCAACACCTCTTCCACGACGGCGTTGCTTTGGCGCACCTCGTTGTTCACCTGTGAATATTTTCGTTGGTTTCAATGATCTTTTCATTTTCTTCTTTCTTCTGAGGATTCGTAAGCTTGGATTTCTTAGTGGCCTGAAGCCTGTCTCTTTCACGTGAAATGTATGGAATTTTTGAATGACGGAATTTTTAACTGCAGAACCAATTTGAAGAATTTGTGGATTTGTATCTTGTTCAACTCCAACGTGATTACTTCACGAAAAATCATAACTTTCGCACGAACGAATATAAGTTTGAAGCAAATGATGGGACAGTGAATGCTGAAACGTGAATAAGATGCAGTCTGCGAACGACAATAAAATGCAGAATCTGAAAATTTATACTCTGTGCAATATACAGTATATTGTATATATTTTGCAGGAACATGGTATGATCATGGTATTGCTTGCAATTTCAATGCAATTGAAGATCAAAAACTTTAGCTTTCATTCGCGCAGTCTGCATAGGTGTCATGCATAACGCTTATATCATATATTGGCATTAACGGATTTTTTGCTGATTTTTTCTCTCTGACTTATTTGTACATCAAAGTTTTTCAAATACATTATTTGAATTGAATCCCTATTGGTCTTGAATTTTATTTTTTTTAATGTGGTATTTGTTATCCTACGACAGACTCAACACTTTATTCTGAGTTTCTTTTACAGTTATGTCTTCCTTCCAAAATAGGAAATAAGGGAACAAGACTTTCCCACGTATTTATTCTCTCCTTGTTTTGGTTGGACAACTTTTGCGCTATCCCCCATTAATGTACATGTCCCATTTCCTTTGCAACTGTAATATTCTTTCAACCAGTTAAGATAACATACCGTAATGCTCCAATAAACGCCCTGGCAATTATTTCCAACAGTTGTTGCTGGGTAATGTCAGGAGAAGAAAAAGGGGAAAAAAGGAGAATGAATTTTGAGGGGAAACTTGGATTTGCCATTGTTCATTAGAAACTGAGACAGGAATGCTGCATAAAATGCTGAAGGGAAAGGAATCCTTTGTTTTATACTTAATACCAAGGTGTGAAGGAAGGGTCAAAATGTGGGAAGGATTATTACAGGTCAAGAAAATTCCAGGAATTTTTCCTGAAGACCAAATAGTAGCCAGGTCTCTTCTTGGACCCGGCTACTATTGGAAGCTGGGTACTATTCACTTGTATCCCCTCTGTGACCAGGCGTTTATAAGAGACCGGCATCTACTGTATTAGATAGAAGGCGTCTATTAGAGCAAATACAGTATTCTAGATTTATGGGCTGAGAATTTTGCCGGATGCATATTGATTAGGATTGAAATGCATTTTGAAATTTACCAAACACAGTATTTTGGTCACAAATAACCTTTTCACGCCTGTGAAATATGTTTTTTTCTTTTACAATGCATTACGAAAAAAATTACATATTTTTTGAAAAAAAATCGATCACCTGTTCACGCAGTGTTTGTTGTGGGCGACGTGGCGGCGGCTGCGGCTGAAATCGCTGCTGCTCCTCTTGCGGTCTTTGCGGCGGCTGTCGGAAAGCAGGCGGTGGCGTCGGCGTCGGGAATCGTCTTTGTTCTTCCTCGAAATTCTGCTGCGGCGCCGGGGCGGCGTTATTGATGAACTGCGGCGGCACTGGGGGTCGGAAAGGTCGGATGCGACCCGATTCCCTGTCCCCAGTCTCAGCACTACTGCTGCTGCTGCTACTTGCACGCGTCGGCTGGAACGTCGTCGTGCCCAGTGTCGTCGTGGACGGAGTGGGGCCCGGTGGCGGTCCGAATGGACGCCCAAAGGTCACTCCACCACCGCCAGGGACGAGCGGGATCCCACGAGCATTGTCGACGTCTCTCGACGGCGCCCGGAACGGCGGAAATAGCGGCTCTTGTTCCAAACGCGTCGTGAAAGCCGGCGTCGTCACGGAAAACGGCGGATCTCGGTCCTCTTCTTCCTCGACGAAGACGGTCGTCGTCGGCCGGGTGCGTGGCGTCGTCAGCGTCGTCGTTGGTATCGGCGACGGAGGCGGTGGTCGAGATGTCGTGGTCGTCGCCAGGAACGTCGGGGCGGCGAAGGTTGACCTCACCGGCGGACTGGCGGTCGTCGTGGTCGTTGTGGCGGCGGTGGTGGTGGTGCTAGTGGTTGTCGTGGATCGGACCCGAGACCGGATAAAGTTCCGTCCCGCAGTGTTGGTGTTGTTGTTGGCCGCACCCAGTTGCCTGGGTCTCGTGGGCACGAATCCCGGGCGTCGACGAATGGGTTGCGGTTGAGGGCTGCTGCTCACAGCCGACGCGGACGCCGGCGTGGTGGCGGCGGCATTTGCGTCCGAAGACGCCGTGGTGCTGCCGGGGTTGGGCTCGCCGATCGCGGGGCGTCGGGCGACCAATCGGCGCCGAATGAACGGACCTCGCTGTCGCGGTGGCGCTTCCACGTCGTTGGTCGACACATCGTCGGCTTTGTCGGCGCCACTGCTGGGTTTCGCAGTCGTCGTTGTCGTCCTGGCTCGGAAACGACGAAGACCGGGTTGTTGGGGGCGCCGGATGAGAGTGCCGGGTCTCGTGCGGACCGTCGCCGGCGCCGCTGTCGTGGCGACTGCGGCTGACGAAGCCGCCGCCGCCGCAGAGGGAAGCCGGATGTTGGGGGGCAGTGTGGGCCGGAACGTCGTGATTTCCGGTTCAACTGGCCTGCGATCGAGGACTTCGTTGTTGCCGTCGTCGGTGTCGGCGGCGCCTTCGTCCTCGTCGTCGTTGTTGCGGGTCGACGAGCCCGGGAAAAGCTGGCGGCGTCCGGCCCGCAAGTCCTGCAGGTCCTTGTCGTTGAGCAGGAATGTCTGGGCCTCGGGCCGACTCTCGGCGGACGCCAGGAGCAGCGGCAACACGGCGGCCACCGCCACGACCGCCAGCAGCAGTCCCTGCACAAATGGAAAACGCACACGAACACGCATCAAGAAGGAGGGGGGGTTACGAAACGGGAGCAGGTGTGTCCTCATCGCCGCCCCGGGGATCCGCGGCGGCCAGCAGTTACAAAATGCCGCCCCCTTTTCATGCGTATATACTATAGATTTACTGAACATATAAATATAAATGTCTCTTTTCGCTTTTTGCAACACCGCTTCCTGTCTGGGTGCTTGCACACGAAAGTTTGTTTCATGCTTTCTTCACACTCCCAATCTCTCCTTTTGTTTATTTTTTTCAGCCCTATTTTTAAAAAACTGTTTGTGTGCGTTTGATCGGAAAAGTTGATGCAGCATATGGAAATGCGTCATAGAAACATAAATTACTCAGACATTTCCGTCTTTTGAATAATCTAAAAGGCTGGTGATAAAAATGGCGAAAATTACGGTTCTCACTGTTATGAGGCGTAATTCAGATCTATGTGATAAGAAACTTGAAATGACCACACTACCATATTCACTAAAGTAACATGGACTCCGTTTCTCTGAAAAATAGATAAAAAATGGGTCTGAATCCGTAAGTGGGTAAATATTCTTTAATCGAAAAAATTATAATGAAACCAGTGTTAGGAGCCATGAGTGAGTCTCCGTAGGTGTGCACAATGAACTAAAATACTTATTATTATTATTATTATTATTAAAAGATCGTTCAGTTGAAAATTATTAAAATATTTCGATGAATTTGGCTTTTAGCCAACAAAAACTCGGGTATACGCAAGTCTTATCTCTTATGTGGGAATACTTTTTGAAAGAAGTCCAAAATAATACATTATGATGTGGATCTGCCTAAAATTTTTGGCTCACTGAGAAGTAAAAATGAAAAAAAAAAATTAAAATCAATTGAATTCAGGTTCAAGCCAAGGCAAAATTCAAATTCGCATTCGTTCAATTTTCAAAATACTGTATTGCAATTTTTCAGTCATTAAAAATGAAGTGACCTTTTTCGCCAGGGGCGGGGTTGTATTAAAATTTCAGTCTGGAAATTCAGGTAGGCATTTTACCTGAGAAAATGCAAAACAGTATAATGTACAGTACAGTACTAAATACAGTATAATGACTGGGGGAAATTCGTTGACTCCCATACGGATAGGGTCAGATTTAAATAATAATAATCAGAGATAAATTATTGGTACTTATTGCATCACAGGTTGCATCACATTTTGAAAGAATGCTAGTGAGGTGTTGGCGTTTTACAGTACAGGTTTAATTGCATTGATGATGTTATTGTATACATGGAGCATTGACAGATGAATGGGATAAAAAGAAACCTCTGTACAACAAAGCTACTGGGACGTGGAAAAAAGCTTTGGTCAACCATAAAATTCTCAACAAAGTGATTCAAATTACATTTCGATATGATAAAAAAAATTCGTTGCACACGTGGACTCCTCCTCCTCTCCAAAAAATCTTGACATATCTTGTCTACAATGATTTTCTCTGTACAACGAATCTTTTGGTGGTCCCATAGGGTTCTCTCCCCATTTTATACAGGGTCCCTACACCGATTTTTTTCTGGTCCCTGAAATTTATTTTTAAAGAGAGTCCACCGGTACCGGTATCGAGAATCATTTCAATGATGCTCTACTGATCTACTCCATTAGCTGAGCGAAACAAAATCCATGCTACCATTTCATCTAAAAATTGCCCAAATTTCTCACTTTACTGTACTCCGAAATACCTTGAATTTTTATTTTTCGAATGCCATGCTTACTCACCAAATTTGACTTCATGACGTCGTGTCACAAAACCTCGAAAAAAAAGAGCAGAGACGAATGCAGCAAGCCGGTCAAGTTGACAGGACGCTTGCTAGATGTCGCTGGTTGCGAATGCCAGGGAAATGCCCCACCCCGTTCGTTCGAATGCTTCTCGTCATAAGCCACTCGCGCACGCGGTCGTCGTCACCTGTTCAAGAAATCACGGGAAATTATTCAAACGCCTCCTTATTTCCCGCGTCATTGTCCGCTAATTCATGCACGCGGGAAGGAACAACCAGGAAGTTTTGCGCAGCCGGGGATTCCGAAATTTTTTGCAGGCTATCATTTCATGCAAATTTTGCGCAATGCTTCCGAGGAATATTTTTTGCCAAAAGGAGAAAGCCCCGTTTTGAGGGCGAGCACAAATTTATTCCCCGATTTATTACCGGATGCTAGTTATTCTCAACAATTGGCATTATATTCAGGAAAAAATGAAGAAGGGCTCCCACGCTGAAATGCGGAGCACGAAAAAAAAATCAATCTTGATTTGCGGTTCATATTTATGACACGACAATAAAGTCCTGACAAAAAATTCACGCCATTCCTCCCAGAATTCTTGCAAATTGTTCTTCGCGGAGAAAATCAGGAATAACGCGCGAATGAATTCAGCCAGAAAAAAAGGAGCTAAAAACAACAGCACAATTCACTGAGTAACTTGTAATAATTTACTACAGTGCCAACTAATTGAAGACAAAAATGTTGAAGGGAATTCTGAAAAATCTAGAACGCATTAGCCATTTCACGTGCCGATCGACCGATTTAAATAGCTCTACGTCATTACTCGATTAATGGACTCCCCCACATCAAGTACCTCGACCAAAAAGTACCTTTATCCGGTACCAGGAACACAAAAAACCCCACCCAATAATCTCGCCATATTTACGGAAAGTGACTCAGGAAGAACCCTGCTCATCCGCGAGAAATTGGAGGATATAAGCTGGATGCTGCACAAGAGCCCCGGAAGCTGAGAAGGTACCCAGCAAAAAAAGCGCGTTCTTCATTTCCTGCTTCGAGACGCCCAAGAAAGACGGAAAGCGGGAATATAAAGATTCCAGAAAGTGATATTAAAATAAATGGGGGAGGAAAAAAAATAAAGCATTGGTAATAGCACAGGATATAGAAACGGAAGTCCGAGGAGCACCGAAACGAAATACATGTAACCGAAAAGAGCAGAGCAAAAGCGGGGGCCGTTGGGCTCCTGGGGATTGCGACACCCGCGCCACGAGGCACGTTTATTGACGCCCGCAGTCCGACTCCGCTGGTCGCCCCAATTACGGGCGCCGCCGGGTTTGCGCCACACCGGAAGGAAAGTGTATCTCGCTCGCCGGACAAGGCCGGTAAATGGAGTACAACGGCGGTTCACCCCGGATAACGGACGCCGCAATCAATGCTTTTTCCGCACACTGCCTTCGGGCTGCCGCCTATACTCGTATCTGTGTGTGTGTGTGCGCGCGCGTATTTCGGATAATGGACTCCATGAAAAATTATTGACATGTGTGAAATGTCAAATTTTTGCGGAGACAGCAGCTGTGTTTTTTTTCTTGAGTGGATAGATGTACAGTTGAAACCTCACCCGATGGAGTACAGTGGTTTACCCCGGATAACGGACGCCGCAACCAGCAGTGCATTTTTCGAATAATCCGTATGGGCTGCCAATTATCTTTGTGTTTGCGTGTTTTGGATAATGGACTCCATGAAAAATTATTGACATGTCTGGAATGTCAAATTTTCTGCAGAGACAGCAGCTGTGTTTTTTTTGCTTGAGTGAATAGATGTACAGTTGATACCTCGCTCGATGGAATACAGCGGTTTACCCCGGATAATGGACGCCGCAACCAGCCGTGCATTTTTCGGATAATCCCTGTGGGCTGCCAATTATCTGTGCGTTTGCGTGTTTCGGATAATGGACTCCATGAAAAATCAAATTTTCTGCGGAGACAGCAGCTGTGTTTTTTTTTCTGAGAGAATAGATGTACAGTTGATACCGCGCTCGATGGAGTACAGCGGTTTACCCTGTACTCGGATAACGGACGCCGCAGTCAATGCTTTTTCCGCGCACTGCGTTCGGGCTGTCACTTATCTTTGTTATTGACTTGCGAAATATCAATTTTATGCGGAAAAAGCAGCTGGTTTTCTCTTTAGTGTGCAGTATAGAATTGCAGTTGATAGCTTGTTCGAAAGAGTACAGCGGTTCACCCCGGATAATGGACGCCGCAACCAGTGCATTTAACGCATTATCCGTATGGGCTGCCACTTATCTGTGCGTTTGCCTGTTTCGGATAATGGCAAAATGATCGGCATGTGAAATGTCAAATTTTCTGCTGAAAAAACAGCTGGGTATTTTTTTTTTGAGGGAATAGAAGTACTGTGCGACAGTTGATATCTCACTCGATGGACTACAGCGGTATACCCCGGATAACGGACGCGGCGATCGATGCTTTTTCCATCACACCCTGCGTTTGGGCTGCAACTGATCTTTGAATGTGTGCGTGCACGTGTTTCGGATAATGGACTCGATGAAGAATGATCGTCATTTTAAATGTCAAATTTTCTGCGGAAAAAGCAGCTGGGTTTTTCCGTTTTGAGTGGATAGAACTTCAGTACAGTACTGTTAACTCGCTCGATGGAGTTCAGCAATTTACTTGGGGTAATGGACGCCGCAATCAGCGCATTTTCTGCACAATGCCTTCGGGCTGCCGCCATCTGCGTGTGTTTGTTTTTCGGATAAGGGACTCTATGAAAAAAATTATTATCCTGCAAATAGTTGGCAAAAGAATTACGGCGGTATACCACGGATAACGTACGACAAGATCAATGAGTTTTCCGGACACAGCAAGACCTCAACATGCGGACAATTCAGCTTAGGGACACTTAGAACTACAGTATACGGAAATCGGCTCTAAACACTGGACAGTGTCTCGAGATATGGACACGTTTCCAACAGTTCTAGAAAAGATTTAAAATTTGCATTTTTCTGTTTTTGATTTAGGGAAACCGGGATTTTTAATGGGAACAAGACTGAAGAAGTGCAGAAAGGTAAATTGGTGACCTTCTGGGCCTTGAACTTCCGGGTATTCGAGTTGACAGGATGCGCTGAACTTGGAGTCACTGGTAAATTCACCCAAGTTAGTCACGCATTTCCTTTTTAAAGGCGTCAATTCGTATTGTTTTTTCCCTTTTTTGATCCCCAGATTAATATGCCAGAGGCCTCCAGAAATTTGAGTTATTAAGGTTTTAGGCGGAAATTCCATGAATTATGGAGATCTTCGTTCTTGTGGGAATTCAGGTACAGTACCAATTCGACATAAGGGAAGATTGAGTTTTGACCAGCTACGCATATTTAATACTGCTGAGCATTGTTTTCCATATTCCTGGGTTCTTTTAACTGTTTTTTTAATGTGCCAACCGAATTTAATTATTGATTTATTCAAACATTTGTGAAGGGTTTTTTCAAGATATTTTGGATAGATTGACCATTTTGTTCACCTTCGTGTTCAAACCTTGATAAACTATTTCTACGTAAGGAACCAATTAGAAATTTTACATTTCATCACATTATTCGGGCATAATAGACGGTTCAATTTAATTTTTCACTGAAAATGCCCGAGCCCATTAAACGAGGCACCACATTTAATATTTTGTTTCGTAGTCAATCAATCTTGGAAAAATGGTTAATTTTCCGTACACAAAAAAAAAGCAGGAAGAACTAGGATACAGAATGTTTCTGGAAACCATGGTTTTTACTTTTTATTGCATACACTGTATGTTGCTAAAATGTAGCTCCTTTCCTGTGGGCTTATTGTGATTTGGGTTTAGCGATGTTCAAGTCGGTCATTTTTCGGCAGGGTTTAGACGTGAAAATCTTGCATGACATGAACCCCTTCTACACTATGGGTTCATGTCGAGTTTTTAAATTATACGGGGTGGAGTTCACAGGTCAGATGAAAAAGCGAACGCTAAAACGCATCAAAAGCGAACTTAAAATTATGACTAAGCCAGTCGAGTCCAGCCCTATAATTTTGACATAGAATATGAATGTTTTAGAAATTTCCAGACCCATTTCGTGAGAAATAACCAGGGAATGAAGAGAGGAAAATCGTGTCGGTTCAACTCGTCGCCATCAAACTCGCCGCCGCCCAAACTGGCCGCTCTACAGTAGGATCAATTCGGCGCCCAAGTCGCCGCCACTGGAGTGGATGTCATGTCCAAGTGACCGCCTGAGAATTCGAAACTGATCACCGCCCCTTTATTAATTTTTTAAAAGATAATTTTCACTTGAAACCTTTCGTGGTCTCCTTCATGCATTATTTTTCATATGCATTTTTTTTTAAACCAAACATTACTTGAACAGTTGAACCTATTCAAATTCAAATTTGAATGGCCTCCAAAAAATGTTCCCGCAGACTTTTAAAAATAGAGCATTTGGCCTTATTTTTTTAGATTAATCAATGAAAATTACTTTTTGACAAAATTATTATATCTGCTTTTTATTCCTAGATGTCCTTCTGCAGAAAGACTCAAATTGCATTTTATGCAGAGGAATTTTTCAGACATTACAAAATTCCAATCAGGGAAATTTTTAAATTCTTACGGAGACATGACTTCGAGGTGTTCAACTGCATGTAATAATTTTCTTTGACTTCAAGAAAAAGGTTTCTTCAGAAAAAAAATCTGATGTAGCAGACTTGAAAATAACTTGGAGAGCAGCTCATGTGACCAAGTTTAATTTTACAACTAACAAAACAACAATTCTCACTTATTTTCTTATCAGCAGAAAACGTAAATTTCCACGTCCACGGTACTGCATTGACCTCGACAACAATACAGCAGGAGTAAAATTGGATAATTTAGCAAAACAATAACGATTTTGAAATCCAGTAACAATGCCGAAAAACAATTCGAAAGTTGTGTGGGGAAATGTTTAGCAAACGCGGCGGCTATTGTATTTGGTTTCGGCGTCCTCAAGTTTTCGAGGTTAGAAGTTTCAAGTGTATGTGATACCCAAGTACAGCTCAAAAATTTAATATGCCCCACCTCAAGTGTCCAGTCTACTTTTTCGCTTGCGATTTTGCGTAGTTTTCGCTTGAATTTTAATACTGATTCGGTCAGCTCAGGTCGGTTATAATTTTGACAAAGAATATGAATGTTTTAGAAATTTCCAGACCCATTTCGTGAGAAATAACAAGGGAATGAAGAGAGGAAAATCGTGTCGGTTCAACTCGTCGCTATCAAACTCGCCGCCGCCCAAACTGGCCGCTCCCCAGTAGGATCAATTCGGCGCCCAAGTCGCAGCCACTGGAGCGGATGTCATGTCCAAGTGACCGCCTGAGAACTTGAAACTGATCATCGCCCCTTTATTAATTTTTTAAAGATAATTTTCACTTGAAACCTTTCGTGGTCTCCTTCATGCATTATTTTTCATATGCATTTTTTTAAACCAAACATTACTTGAACAGTTGAACCTATTCAAATTCAAATTTGAATGGCCTCCAAAAAATTTTCCCGCAGACTTTTAAAAATAGAGCATTTGGCCTTATTTTTTTTAGATTAATCAATGAAAATTACTTTTTGACAAAATTATTATATCTGCTTTTTATTCCTAGATGTCCTTCTGCAGAAAGACTCAAATTGCATTTTATGCAGAGGAATTTTTCAGACATTACAAAATTCCAATCAGGGAAATTTTTAAATTCTTACGGAGACATGACTTTGAGGTGTTCAACTGCATGTAATGATTTTCTTTGACTTCAAGAAAAAGGCTTCTTCGAGAAAAAAATCTGATGTAGCAGATTTGAAATTAAATTGGAGAGCAGCTCATGTGACCAAGTTTAATTTTACAACTAACAAAACAAAAATTCTCACTTTTTTCTGATCAGAAGAAAACGTAAATTTCCACGTCCACGGTACTGCATTGACCTCGACAACAATACAGCAGGAGTAAAATTGGATAATTTAGCAAAACAATAACAATTTTGAAATCCAGTAACAATGCCGAAAAACAATTCGAAAGTTGTGTGGGGAAATGTTTAGCAAACGCGGCGGCTATTGTATTTGGTTTCGGCGTCCTCAAGTTTTCGAGGTTAGAAGTTTCAAGTGCGCAACAGCCTGAATTTCATCACGAGTGATTTTTTCTTTTCTTTCAAAGTCACTCAAGTTGAATTAACAATATATTGCAACGCTTTGGGTTTGAAACGAGCCCTGTAAAACGGTTCAGAAACCCTCACCAGATCTTCGACAAGAACACGACAGAACAATACAAAAAAATGCTTCACTTTCGAGTCACTCCAGGGCACCGATTCCAACTTCACTTTCGATCATTCGAGTGTCACTTGCATATCATTACGCTTTGTTGGATTCAGTTAAACCTGCGTGATGTACCAAAGACCTTCGCGGGTATCAAACAAAGGTACAGCAAAAAAATAATAATAAATGAATTCCGTGGGAAGAAACTCCCTTTTCAGAAGTTGCACCCAAATTTCATCGATGCTTCGGTAAAATGAATCGCGGAGAGATTAATGAACCCATTGCTGCGGGGGAAAATTATGCGATGGATGCATCGAAAACGCAATTTATCTCCAAACCAGATACAGTACACTTATATAGTGTCTAGTTATCACAGATGAACTTTCTCTATTCAGTATTGTATAATAATTCTGAGTAAAAATTCTCATTTCACGATTTTTCTGTTCGACTCTGCCTCACTGTGCTCATTATTCCTCATCAGCGTTTCCATGAGTAAATTATCTCGAGTTTACTCTTGAGCTCGGCATAATAATATGCAGAGAGAGAGTTTACCTTGCATTTCCACTTCGCAAAATTCCGCAGCAGTAAATCTAGGATAATTTATTCATGACTCCTTCGATAAAACGCATATGGATGAATAACTTGAAGGAATGACACGAACTCCGCGCTGTTTTGAGAATTTACTGATCAGTGCCTGAAAAATCGATCTTCAACTGAAAATTCACGTTCTTCACCCATCGCGAAATTTGCGCAGTTCTCGTCACCACTGCGAAACAATCTGGGTATATCTCGTAAACGTCCTCACTGTACAAATGGATGCTACAACCTGTTTTTTTATTATTAAAAATCAAGATTAAAAAAAGCTACTGAAACAATGATCCAACTGCAACATGAATTTAATGCGCCTTGCTGAATTTTCCACGTTAGTGTCTGTCAATGAAACAAAAATGAATGATGATGAACTGAAAGCCCTACTTTCGACCTCGAATTGAAATTGGAAAACCAGTCACTTGGGGGAAGAAAATGCCGACTATTAAGCGTGGCCTTTTTTTTTTTTTATTTGCAGGCTTCTTTATTAGCACAACAGCAATTGGGAAAAATTAACTTTGGTGAGCTGGAAAGCCAGCTTTTGACCCAGCATCAACTTTCCAGAATAATTCTCAGTTCGAAAGAAATAAGCCTAACAGGATTTAGTTTTTTTTTTTAATTCCTTCCAACGATGAATCGCGACCCATTTTTTTAAATTTGTAGAATATTCTCGCGAGTGTTGTTCGGCGCAGCAAATATTCACAAATCCACAAATATTTGCAAATATTTACAAGTACTGTACCTACGAAGGGATCCTGGCGAGAGGAGAGCCAGATTTTGAGTCACTATAAAACTTTTCACAAAACTCGGCCTACGGAATCCCACGTCTTCTGTATTTTCTATAACCTCCCCGAATGAGCACTGGGTATTCACTGGTTCAGAAACCGAATCCGAGAATGAACTTACGGCTTGTTCATCACATAAAAAAATTAAATTAAAAAAAATCCACAACACCTTAAAAACATTTTTTTTGTTGATCACAGGGGTAGTTTTTTTTTTTTTGGGCTCCGTGCAACCTGGTGGCGCCGGCGACACATTCGTACTGGCCCGCGCGGACGCTCGGGCTGCCACCATAAACCCCGCAGAGGTTTCTGCACAAGCAAAAAAAAAAAAAAAAAAGTAGAGGATTCAAAACAAGCAAAAAAAAAAAAAAAAGGGCGCCGCGGGAAAGACACACACACACACACACACACCCTCAAACGGTGAATGTACACGTCAGAGCTGGAAGGAGCGCCACAGAGAAATACGGAGCTCGGGCAAGTGGGACTGAGAAGCAAGTGGTGGTCGAATCCGACGGCCTTCTGAGGCGGCGAGGGCGACATTTTCGTGGCCAAGGCGGCGGCGCTTGGCCACGACTAGACCGGCGGCGCTTGGCCACGGCGTTCGTACTGAACGCCGGCGGCGCTTTTTTTTTTTTCTTTCTTTTTTTTTGCAACGTTCCGTGCGACAGAATGACGCAAAAACGGCGCGAGATTTTTGCTACGCCACTCCTAAATCACCACATCTCCTTGGGAACAATGGGTTTCCTTCTCAGTCCACGAGATAATTTTTTTTTTCAGTTCAAGACGCCCCAAGAAACAGTTTCGCAGTTCTAACGTTCTTCTAAAGAATACGGACTGAGAGTTTCCGAAACTATTCGCTTTGTTCAAAAAAACTCTTCTAATCTAATGATAAATCTGGCCTGATTTAGTTGACTGACCCCATGGAAATAATGAATTTAAAATCTGTCTCGGAAAATTTTGAAATGACCAAACAGCGGTTTGCACAACCACGATTTTTACTCGTGGATTCTAAATGCGATGTAATAATACAATGCGCAACTTTTCCCCTCCATTATTCGGAATGGCATGAGATGAATTTTCCCGTAGAACTGACAAAAGCAAGAGTGAAAGACCACCTTTTTTTTCAGAGAACGGATGTAATTAAAGCATCAACTCGGACTTTCTTTAAGTCGGGGTAAAAGTGCCTTGCAAAACTTCTGAAAGATCACGCTACACGAGCCCAGTAAGGAAAGCAGGCCATGATAATCAGTTGATTTCGGTATTCAGAACCGGAACTAAATTCCGCAAAAGAGGAGGAGGTGAAATGTTGGCTTCGTTGCTCAGCAAATAAATAAATAAAAACTTGCACAATCGACCTCGGTTTCAAATCAGAGTCGTTCTCCTCTCGGGTTTCAAGGGTGGAAGAAATTTCGTCGAAACCCGGTTTTTTTTGCGGTCCGCATACACCATTGCACACACCTTTGGCCAAAATTCCGAGAACATTCCGCAGCATCCGAGAGCCGTGTGTGAAATCATTGCAAGTAAGAATCGGTTTTCTTTTCTTGTCTTCCCCTCTACATTTTTCTGGTTGAGTTCCTCGAAAACCCAAGGACATGCACGAAGGAATTCGGACAGAAGGTGGTCTTATTCATCAGGTGTGTGTGTGTGTGTGTTATGAAACGGAGCCTCGCATTTCAGAAGACGGCCAATTGATTCTCCCTCCCACGTTACGTCAGTGTCCTGGGCAGAGTTGCCGACCAGCAGCAGCAGCAGCAGCAACACCAGGGCAAAAGGAATTTTGGCATTGTGCAACACTCGTCCCGTGTGCCTTTCTCTCGGCTGCTGAATCGGAGTGCGCAAAATCGAGACCGCGGTCATACTCGACGAGGTATTCATCACCAAGGATTTTCTCCGATTCAAAGCGGGAACAAGTACAGTATTGTGCATACACCGTTTGATGGGGCTGGATAAGGAATCTGGACGGATCAACCGAAAGTTCAAGTTTTACCGAAGAAATAAATTAACCTCTTCATGTTTTCAAAATCCTTGGATTTTCGTTCCATGGCAGGAACGCAGGAAAAATACTTCCCAGGAGTGAGGCATTTCTTTTGTTTTACAGTTAAAATGTCTCTTCCAAGAGAAAAAAAAACACCAATATTTTCCCAAATGTTTTTTTTTTTATTTTCATCAGTCTTGATCTGTGCTCTGTACTGGGCATCCAACGGGTGCAAAATCCTGTGGCTTTAAAATCTTGCAGGGAACAAAAATCTGAGTGGCTGGAAAAACGTAATACAGTTATTCCAATACCAGAATTACGTTGTCAAGCCTGTCCTGCTGGAACAAACTTGCAAAAAAAATTCCTCCTGCGCTTCACAACTGGAATTATCTATGGAACAAGTGCACAACACTTGTCCAAGAAAAAATAAACTTAAATAAACCCCGGAATGCTTTGAGATTTTGGAACAGCAGAAATTTATTCCATAAATAATCTAAACTTATTCCATGAATTCCTTTAAAAATTCCAGTTGTTGAGCACAGGGAGATTTTGTCATGAGTTTGTTCCAGCAGGAGAGGCTTGACCATGTTATTCCGGCAACAGAATTATGACGTTTTTCCACTATCCCAAAAATCCGTAGAAAAGTGGACAGTTTATACTCGATCGCAGTCAATGCAGAGATTAAAGTTCCAAACGATAGCTACTGTACATCTTTTCTCGGACTTTTGAGAGAGGTATAATCCAAAACTTTCAAAATGCTTCTAAAGAAACCACACTTTCACAATTTGGTCTTGCTGTTCTGTCACTTCCTTGACATGTACCCGGAATCTTTCAGTGGGTGGATCGAAACGTGCAGCATTTTTGACATTTAAATATCGCCCGAAACAAAAATCCGGGACGCAGAAGAAATGCCCATTGATTTTACTACCTTCAACTTGAAAAGAAAAGGTCACTCGTGAATTTTAAATGCACCGTCACTTGCTTCACAATATGCAGTGAGTTCTAATATGCAGTGAGTTCTAATATCTCGAGGGTTGATCAAAAATAATGCAACGATTTAAAAGAAATGTTCAATTCATCCTTGAACACAATCATTTCTAATGAGAAAAATCGCTTTAAGTGTCAATTACCCTATTTTAAAAAGAAAGACGTTGGAAACTCTTTCAGGCAAAAAAAAATTACTGTAGCATATTCACTTGAGTACCACTTGACTACAAGAAAGATGATCACCAGGATTTTTCTAACAAATATATTTGTTAAATTTGTATCCCTGAGTAAGACACTCACACCATTTTAGTGATTCTAAAATTGAAAATATTTCCAGGATAATACCACCCACATTTTTATTTCGACATGAATTGGATCAAAATTCGACCAATTTTAAACTGTTGACATAAAAATTAGTCTTTCTGCTGCACTCTCCCCAAATTTTCCCATTAGAATCAAGCATAATGCACGCCTGAACTTCTTCCCCTTTTTTTGAAAAGTATACCCACCTTTTTCTTTGTGAATTTGATGAAAATATACGCATGGTACTGTACTCAAAAGAAAACTGTATAAAATTTTGAAAGGTAATTATCTCTCATAACCCTGTACTGTATGTTAATTCGTCAGTCTCTCACCCAAAAGTAAACTACAGTATAGCCATTAAAATTAAAGAACTGCCACAAAATACAGTACTGTGTTCTTCGGGGTAACACATTTTTTCTTAAAAATGAATTTTGGCAACGTGAAAAACTTTTTTCTGGAATAATAAATGTGTCTGCCAGAATTAATCTTGACTTTCGAGTCTCTTTAAAAATATTTTAGAGGACCGTTTTCAGATGCTTTTATTTTTTTAGATTCTTCCGTCTTTCGCATATACACTAGGTTTAAGTCACTAAAGCTGGAAAAAAAAATCTGTAATTGGACCTTCATGATTCGAACAGGGGCGGAAATTTTTGGGCCAGCCCCGCATGAAAAGCAGTATTTCGCAAGCGGATCCGAGACGCGCCTTCGAGCTTCAAACTCGGGCGAAAGGTAGTCAGTCAGTCTCACGTCCGCATTAAAACGTTCTATTTGCATCATCATCACGCATTAGCATCAATTGGCAGTTCAAGAACACCGCGACGGCGTCCCGGCGGCGCTCAATGCCACACGCGGCGCTCGGAGCCACAAGACCCCTCGAGGCGCCAAAGGGAACCACGCCCTGCATGCACGATGGTCACCGAAACCCCGAAAAAGAAACACACGCAACTTCCAAGAATGCTCCCCTGTATATATATATAAAGCTGTCGCCTTGACACTGACAGAGCGAAACAGAGAATGGCCCAGACCAGCCAACGTGAGAAACACCTTCGCACCAGCATATAGGAAAAAATAAATAAAAATAAAAAGAGGGAATAACCATAAAGCTTTATAGAGAGAAGCAAAGCCGGAAGAAATGAAATGAAACGAGCTGCCCGGGATTGTGACACACGCCACAAGGTACGACGTTTATCGGCGCCCCAGGCCTCTATGGTCGCCCCAATTACGCCACCGGGTTGCGCCACCCTCATATCGCGAAAAAGAAAGTGAGCGCATTTTTTTCCTCCCCTCCCGGAAGGACAAGGCCGGGCGAATGGAAGAGAGGCTGGACCACAATCGCAATATCCCCTGCGTCTCACTTTAAAAAGTTGCCCCCGGGGTGTCCCAATGACTAATGGGTGACCCGACCGACTGACTACTTTCACCGATCCGCTCTAATCATCCTCCTCATCACCCGGGCCCGACTTTCGGCAAACCCCTGATATGCAAACCCATGACGACGGCAACTGCACCAGTCGAACTTCGAGGGACCAGCAAAATTATTCCACTCATTAAGGAAGTTTTCGAGTTTGGAAAATTAGCATTTTTTTGTCAGAGGAAAGAGATGAGGAGAATTGCAGGAAATTGTAATTGGTGATATTTTAGGCCTCGAATTGCTTCTTAAATGAGTTGACAGGATGCTGAACTTTTGGAAGCGAGGGTTCATTCGCCCAATCAGCCTTTCACTTCCTTTCAAAACGCATCAAATTAAATCCCCATTGCTTTTCTCTTGCAAATCTCGATCAATAAAATATTAGCCAAAAGGCCTCCAGAAACTTCGAGTTATTGAAGGTTTGA